GTCGATCTTTATCCCCATACTTACCTACGGTCATGATTCGTGGACCATCACTGAAAAACTTCGAACCCGGGTACGAGCTTCTGAAATGGGCTTTCTAAGACGAGTCGCTGGCCTTACGCCTCTCGACATGGTCCGGAACAGTGACATCCGGAGGAGCCTTTGTGTACAGCCTTTGCTTCTCTAGACTGAGAAGTCACAGCTGTGATTCGGGAATGTGTTGCGAATGCGTCCAGAAAGGAAGGCTAAGCAACTGTTCCTTGCAAGTCCGACGGTAGAAGACGCAGGGTTCAGCCAAGATGAACCTAGTGCATATATATAGAAGGAGTCTGTTCCAGACTCCATTTGTCTTTTGCCAAAGCTCAGATTCTGGTACAAGATCGGGAACGTTGGAAGCTCTGTCTGAGGGATCTGCCTCCGCGACCCTAAAGGAGCAGCGGTGATAGAAGATGATGATGATGATGATGGCGCACAGGACGCAATTAAACAATGTGAAGACGAACTACTTTTGAGATGCCATAAAACAATTCAGTGTCTACATAAATATATTGTACACCTGGGAATTCGTCACATCGAAATCGCTCTGTATCTCCTGCATGAAAGCATCATCGCAAACCGTATAAAACCGTCACAGCAAACATTAATCGAATAGTTGCGATGTCGCAATAGCTTGCGTAAGCGCGTGGTAAATATCATTCGAAAGAGTACTATATGTATTCGATCCATTGCACATAAGCGAGTGAGGATATCAGCATTTTAGAATGAGCGCAGTTTCTCAAGAAATAGTGTAATTAATACAGGTCGAATTTGCTAGCTGAGTGTATTTCTATTTTAAATTTACCGTGAATAGTTCATAGCATCAACGTTCTGTTACAAAAGTTTGAAAATTAAGTAGTAATGCAAAATATTAAATTGGTGAATTATTTCACGTTGATTCATCGTTATAAACATAACTAAGTACTTACTTAGTCATGTGTAACGATTTGTACAATTGTTTACAGATAGCAAAACGTGAAGAAATATGTTAAAATGCATCGAATAGCTTAAAGTTTCAATTTTTTAAATGTTTCTCATAATTGATTAAAAATTATAAAATGAATGGAAGATCAATCTTTATTGACCCATATGGTGAGATAAGAAAAGAGTAGGAAATTATTTGCGAATAAACTAACATTCACAAAACAAAAAATATAACGCTAGAGATGCGTTTTTATTATCGATTTCAGCTGGAAACAGCTGATCATCTGTCAGTCAATTTCCACGGTTATGCCTCGTACAGAAGGATCCCTCAAACGTACAGGTGAGGGGCTGAGGTAAAAATGATGACCGTCGACAAGACAATGAAGATGGAGAAAAAGATGAGACATAAACGGTCAACTACGACCGCGGCGAATTTCCAGTCGTTCTTGGCATCTTCATCAGCGTTTTCCTTCGACAGCTGATTGGCGATGTATTCTACATTCTGCTGAATTTTACTCAGAGTCACAATCAGATATCCTTGGTTATCGACGATGGGTGGTTTCAACGGCATATTGGAGTCATGCCTTGAGGTGGCCAACAACAGTTCTCGCTCGTTACTGCACTTTGTGATATCTGCAGTTTTGGAAGTACCTGGTATCTCACTTTCGACATCTTTGTGAACCTTATTGTTCGGCTTCTTCTCCTTTTTCCACAAATAGATCTGTCGACTAAACGTTTTTCCAGGCCTCTGCATCATCAAAAGCCACGGAAGCCAATTAATTAGCAATGCACGCGTCTAAAAAATATCACATGCATTAGCAAGACCTGTGAGGCACTTAATCGCTTTATAAAACTCAGAGAATAAGGCAAGCGAACTATTAGTTTTGCGTAGATAAATCAATGTCAAGTTTGGTGTTGGATATAAAATCAAAATTGGCAGCCGGTGTTATTTTCTGCTAGGATGTCACTTTCCAGGAATGTCAGTAAGGCACTGCTTGAAAAAGGCACCGAACTTTTTCAATGATAGTGACTCTGATGCCAAAATATCTGAAAGGTAGAGATCAGGCAAAGAACATTTCATGTGAGACTTTATCATGGTCAGACCAACTAAATCTGATCATGTCACATCATCATTCTCAACTGTCTAAAAGTCATTCCAACGCTGAGTAGAAAAGTCACATGAAAGCATACTACATTCCCCCATATTGTGCCTGTGTGTAAGCCAACAAAGTTAAATCTCATCCACTCACACATTAGACTCACGTAGGGAGGTAAAGGCAGGATTCGCAATATTAACAGTGTATTGCTCTTATAAAACTAACGTCGTCACACTGTCAGTTTCGTCTGAGGAACTTGCTTAATTAATTCCGTGATAAAAAGCCATTAGAAAAGCTTCCGAAATAATGTACTATAAATGAAAGAACTGAGGCATAGGGTTCTCAGAAAGTATAGCAAAGAGAAACAGTAGAACGAAGAATAAAGATCCGGCAGTTTACAGGTTGCAGACAAAAAGTGAGCTGATTTTTGGAAATAACGTTCTGGACAACAGTCAGCTCACGATGTACCCCAACAGCAATACCCCAACAGCAAAATCGTCTGCACTGGAGCCTTGGCGTTCAGATGAGAAAGAAAACAGTCGTATCAACGCCCGAATACACAAACTAAGTCATGCCCAAACGACTATCAATAAACCGTGCTTATATCGTGTTCAACGAAGAAATTAATACCTTTTCGCCCATAATGTTTGTATCAGGGGTTCGATAATGAAGCTGCAGCACGATGACGTTGCATACGACCGATGCGGAAACGACCAACATGTGACAGGCAAAGAATACGCCGAGTAGCGACACCGCTTCTGATGTCGTCGGAGTCATTTGAGACACCATTCCAAGAAACACACAAACCGACAAAAGAATGGTGATTTCTAAACAGACAGACAGAGAATGAACAACGCCAAAAATTTTCAAATGGCTAGAGTAGCAAATGATGCAGGCAGCAATCCAAACACTTACCTAATGTGACTTTTTCACCTGACTCGACCGGAAGAGCGAAACCGAGCAAAGTCATTAGCGAGATGAGCAAACTAGGGATAATTAGGTTAAAACCATAAAACAATGTTCGCCGTCGGATGTGCAGGCAGAACTTCAAATCATAGTACGGTTCATCGGGGCAGCACTCGTAAAGGCGTTTAGAACGGTTCACCGGGTATTCTGCGATATAACATTGCCGCTAAAGTCATTTATCTCATGACCGACTTGCTGTACCTATAAGAAGCCATTCGCCGTTTTCCAAGTACTCTGACATGTCCCATCCGTCTTTGTCCTTTCGCAGATCCAGCTTTAGGCTATTGTAAGTCCATGAGCCAAACTGAAAATAAACTTTCTTTCGAGTTAGTTGGTATTTGAATCTCAACCACAAGAATTAGACTACAGAGCAATTAGCTATTAAGATAATTTAACCGTATCATATTTGGCGTTAAAAACTACAGACCCTTGTTTGTAATAATGGTCGCTTAATCTTCGAAAGTGAGAGAAAAATTGTAACTGAGTTTAGTAAGAAAATGACAGAAAACCTATTACGACACTCATTAATGACGATGACAACAATATCATGATAAAGTCGCGAACAAACTTCAATTTATAGGTTAAACATTAACGATACCGAATTTCAACGGCGAAAATGTAGTGTAAAGAAAGAAAAAACTATTTCTTACTTTACACCGACATTGCGGTATCGTAAGACAGATTTGGGTAGAACATCAAACCGGGTTTTTTCATGGTGTAATGAAAGTACAACAGAATATACCTTCAAACAGCACAGCTGATCATCGAATGGAAACCACGTGATGTCCATTTTGCAGCTACTACGAACGATCCCGGGTGGTATCCAGGTGATGGTACCACTGCTGTAAACGACAAGATTGGAAGGATAAAAGTTGGCAAAGTTTGAATCAACGCTAAACTGTGGCAGCAACTCGTTAGTCAGTCAGCATCGAAAAGTCTGCCCAAAATACCTATTGTACAGGAGTACGTCTGGTTTCCAAATTTTGTCCGCAGGCAGTGTGATGTCCGATAGACCGCCGTACTGCTCTGGATCCCATTTGAGATTGTAGTCTTCCCATGTCTAAACAGAAACTTTGCCCCTAAGTTTCATAAAACCCTAGCACAAAGAAAGCCATTTTAATAAAAATGTCTGCCTGACGAGCTTCCTTACAACGAACACCTCCACATAAAAAAACTAACTGCATCCATAAAAGGAGTTTTGGAATAACGCATTAAGATTCCCTTAATATTTACCCTTTTATACCAGTTATAAAGTACAAAATTAAAGCAAATATTTACTAGAGAGATAAAAATAACTCATCGATATGACTCATAACAGCAGTGATACACATATGTATCCAATTAGAAATGAAATACATGAAAAAATTATTGTATTAGGCGAGATTGTCAGATGCAAAGTTTCTCTCTTTAGTGCAGAACTCCATTTAACTGATTGATGTCTCGGTACTTAATAAAAAACTGGGATTTGGGCAACCAGCAGCATCGAACGAAGCATGCAGAATAATTATTTAAGAACTACTGCATTAGGAGGTAATATTAATGTCGTCAATGAACATCGAGAACCAGAACCCGTAGAACCTAGGATGAATCGACCGGAAACGAAACTGAAAACAATAAGAAAAGATTACGCATGGCTAGCTAAAATACGTATCGAAAGTTTTCTTCGAAACCTTAGAAAACTGAAAATAACGTTCAACAAACTTGGAAAGGCTAAGCAGCTATTATTAATGCTGTGACAATCATATTTAGCTATTAACAGAACGTTTCTGGTTTCTAATATCCAAAGCAATTTAAGCTTCAACATTTTTGCTAAAAAGCATCGACATAAGAAACAATAAATAAGGTTTCATGTTCATCAGATCTGCAAGGCCTTTTCTTTATTAATTGGTCTGAGTGTTACCTCCTTTTTCTAATCCATATCTACTTAAGATATGTTCTTTCCAGGAAAACATATTCATTTCTTATGCGGTCCTGCCATTTAAGCCCCGTTATGCTTCGACTAGAAGCCTTTCGGTCAAACAGATTGCATCGATTGCTCAACTCTTACAATTGAGTCATTAATCTAATCCCGAAGAAATACAGTAAAATGGGTCAGAAAAATTTATCACCTAAGAGAACGCCTTTGCCGCCTTGTTTTAGTCCAAGAAATGATAGATGTCTTCATAACAATAGACTGGAGGATTTTTGATGAATCATCACTGAACGGCCGAACGGAAGCAATTAGCTCATACATAAACTTCATGAATAACAACCGTTGTCCGTTCCACGAGTTTATAGCTAACCCAAAGGTCGTGACGACACCTGCAATAAAACATCGACGCCGTCTGAGCGATAGAGCCCATCGGGAAAGTCGCATCATGCAAGTATTTTCGACAACGCAT